GCTTCATGTCACCCTAGCATTTACGTCTGGTCATGGTAAATCCAAAGATCTGACTGAATGTTTTTGAACTTACAAGGGGGGGGGGATTGGTCAAACGAATAACAATTGCTTTGGCAGTTGACAGTAAGAGATACTTGGCCTGCTTGGATCTCACCCCGGTGATAGGCCTAACCGCTTCACTCATTCTGACACAATGTTCCGTTTCGACCAAGTGAGCCATGTTCGTCATTCCGCCGGTTCTCGTCAATGCGCGACTAAGCTAGTGGGGGTGGTGTTCTCGAATGTGGCGGGTGGTACGACCTATGTAAGTGTTCCCACAGGAGAACACAAATTGGTAAATGCAGAATGAGGTCATTTCCGCCGGTAACTTGTCTGCTATCCTCAATGAGAGACTTGGTTAGGAAGTGTAAATTATGCGTAAATCAGCGGCATAATATATATTTCTGACAGCAGTCCGGAGAACGCCTACTTACGATTTCAGGTAATCTGTCACCTTTGAAGGAAATGGATAAGTAAAATGGTTTCTTTTCAGTCTTCATCTCAGGTTGCACTTTTGTAGTGCGCTTTATACATTGTTGAATGATCTTATCTTCATATACATTTTCTAAGAAAATCGTTATGATTTCCTCAGTAGAGTACTGGCGAGTAAATGATGTACCGAAAACGAGCTTTTTGCCAAACTGACTTCTTGAAACAACCAGAATATCGAAAACATTACAAGATAGTGGTCAGAAAGCCCTTTATTCGGTCTAGGGAATATAAGTTACTAAATGAAGGAATATTATACAATCAAATTGCAATAAATGACTAAATTTAGTTGTGCGTGGTCACGAATGAACACAACAAAACCTAGATGGATCGACTTGCAGATAACTACATTCGCCATTTGACTACTCGTAAGTAGTCAGTTGATGAACACTTACTAAGCATGTGCTACTCTCATTGCTGACCTTTTTCTCACTTGTCTGGAGACCTGGCCAAAGAAAAGTGCAGATAATATTAGTTCATCAAGATCAAGTAATCTAATTGATTTCGCAGATATTTACGAGTTATTTTTAGTGAACGCTAGAAAAGCCCTTTTGTTCAAACCTCGGTTGTGGTCTCTGACGTAAGGTATTTCGAAAATAATTATCTTCCTTTTCATCTTTCAAACAAAAATACACTAGCTATGTGGTGGCTGGCTGTGGAAAGATATCAAATAACGGTATTTTATTTGGTAAGCAGGTTGTTCTCAAAATGGGATGTACGGAAGCTGCATCTTCACAGCAATACAAAATACACATTGTGTTTTTTAGGTGCTATGGTCTGGCACATACTCCTGCAAAAAACGAACCTTCATCTGCTTCATCTGTTAGTGCAGCCTCGGATTATATACCTTTTCTCTCTTATGCGCTAACTACCCTACGCTGCATCCAACTGGTGTAGTGTAGACCAACTCCTTAAAATTAATGGTTCTGACAGCTGTTGAAAAACGTCGTAATAATGTGTTCGAATGATTATGCAGAAACTGGTGAATAGCACAGTTGGTTGGCTTTTTACGTGCCTTCGGCGCACCTAATGTGCTCCATAAGGGATGCATCTTTTATTTTGTCACGATTATGATGGACATCATCTACTAGTTTCCATGATTTGCTATCTGGGGGGCAGGTATTATAAAAGTTACCTTGGTCATGTATTACGATACTGTTTTAACAGCTGTCATAATCATTCATTTTGTCGTAGAGGTCCAATATGCATCGAATAGAAATAGAGTCTGATGTTTACCAGAAAATAGAATAGATGTTGCATCTGAAGATGCCATATTAGATGAAGCGTCGCTTGCCTTTTACTGGAATTTGCGCACCGGCATAACACAAAGATAAAAAAAATGCTTGTTTTAAATTAGAGTCGATCATCGAACGAACAATAGAGCTCTTGTAGGTTACACTTTGACAACTCATATTGCGGGGGCACATAATGAACTTAACCAGGCCACCATCTAAATATCTTTATATCAAACCTGCCCAATCAATATGAATGATCAGCCTCAGGTTAATTCAAATAATATCCATCATGTCGGAATGCCACCATGTTTTGTGCAGAAACAAAATTTTCTGTTATTGTATCGGTTTCGCAGATTTTGTTTTCGAAAAAGTAATCTCACTTAAGATGATATAATAGATCGCGTGAACATTTCCGGCAGTAATATATTTAATAATTCCCTTGCCAACCTACTGGACATCTGTTGATGATACCAAACCTTTAATCCGAAAACCGAGTTCGTGGGATTGACTTATTTCCTCAATAATAAATTTCGACTAGGAGGTTTGAAAACGCCAGTACGCAGGATATCATAGAGGACACAATAAGGTTGTGGTCAATTACTGCGATCTAAAATGAGAAAATAACTGCGGCACATATCAAATGGCGTAGTGTAGCACGGTTGGGTGTGCAAACCCTGCCACCACAGCTACTTTGTATAGATCACGTTCACTTTACAGCGATTCTTGTGTATTCTGAAACAAACACTGGTTACCGAAATGGCCTTCATTTTTTGTAGCCAGGAGGCATCTCATTAGCAATAGCCAAGGATCGAATCAAATATATATTTTCCGTTTTCTTTATTCAAAAAGCTGTTTTCAGGTTCTGGTACCGGCTACTTACAAGTAGTGTGATGTACATGATGGTAATGAGGTAAGAATAAAATAGTAGCGGAAATAGATTTGTCGTAAAATGGTGGAAATCTGGACTTAACATGACTTGAATGGACGTATGAAACTGCAATAATAAATTTTATCGGGGCAAAAGAAATCTGCAATTGAACTGGGCATACTCGGAATCATTATATTGAGAGACAATATAAGTTTCGTCGAAAGCCCTACCTTTAAAAATAATAGAAATTGCTCTTTAAGATTCTTTAGCAGTTGTCCTGCATGAAGCAAATCATAATAGGTCATCTCGTGTCTCAGAAGGTTGGGAGTAAAATGTGTTATTGGCAGGCTCAATTTTGATCTGTAAACCTAGTTTCTTCCAATAAAATGCCAGTATCTCCACAAATGTTTTGAAATGGCCATTTCGCAAATGGTTGATGAACTATAACTCGAAGAAAAGGTACAACAGAAGTTACTCCCTTTTTGTCATCCAAATTTCCCTCACTTAATGTTATATCTGGCCACGGTAAATTGAAGATTTTGGCACACACACCTAAAGGTTTATGTATATTGCCCCTATTAATTATGGAAAGATTGAAAATGCTCTCGAACAAATGCAGGTGATTGTCGGACTGGAGCATTATCCTGCCTCCAGTTGGACAGAACTTTAAGGTTCAGTGCTTATGCTGCCCAATCAACAATGCTCTGTTCTGTTTCTCATATGTTTTATCGAGAAAGCCCTGATACGAGCTGTTTTTATTGAGCTTAATGTGTGGGTGTCTTTGGTTGACAGTCCATCAGAAAATTCAAAGGAAAAAACCAGTGTGGTTGGCTAGGGAGTTCATAAAGGCTATACAGGTCCTGTTAACACGGAATTGAAACGTCATATCCGGTCATGTGCAGGAGGCTGAAATTGTTAAGAGCAGAAAAATGAAAAATCGTTAATAGGCAAAATTAGATAACATCCTTAGACTCAGTGTGCATTAGTCCAAATCACGTAACATCGATGTCCAACAAGTAATCCATCCGATCAAAACCTTATTTCTTTCCATGGTTCCCCCAGATGGATCTATCGTACTACAGGTTTTTTCCAGTTCCTGGCAGGTGAACTCACTCAAGAAATGCAAGCAATCTTCTTTCCCTCATGATAAATAAAAATTTTTTGTCATTACAAAATAATTAATACTGGATGTATTTCGGACCTAACAGAAAAACCATATAGACCAAAGGGTCGAAATATCTTTATCGGGTAGGAAATCAGTGGACGGTTTTCGATCTAGCTTCATGCAACTATTTTTCAGGGCCAGTCCGCAAGGTCACATGTTTACGAGTTAGTATATTTGGGAAGGTTTTCAATAAACTAATGAATAATATGCCGATTGAGTCTAATTTCAAGTAGAAGTGTATTCTCATGTTTGAATTCTGTGACAGAATGCCTATCAGTGAGAACTGTAGACCCACCAGTTTCGAATTTGAAAACTCATTTTCATTCCCGAAAGACTGTATGTAAAATGATTTAAAGGATTCACTTGTTCAAAGCAAGATTTGCAGTGAAAATAATTGGTCATTGTATACGAGAAATGCAGCACATGAAATATATCGGTGAATAGATTGTAATTAAACTACACTAACAATTTTGAATCATTGGTTAAAGAATGTCCATTGGTTTTATTAGCTCACTTCTGATAATCAATATACGAATCAAATTGTCCTGGAATGAGCTACTAGATACACGTGTGCATCATGTTAAACATGTGCTAACACGCACCGAATTCAAGGTCACGTGGCAAGGAACTGTGCGACTCCGATTATTGATTGACCTTGAATTGCCAGTCCGCGTTGTCTACTACACACACCCATGCACATGAACCCATTTGCCTGAAGCTGCTTGTTGGCACACTGGCACAAACATACAAAATGCTAATCAGGTTTGTTCACAATTTTACACGGATGTTTTGTGTGAGCATTTGCTTCACTGTCGGTTTATCTGATCACCGCTGTTTCTATCCACGACACGAATGCATCGTCATTTCGACATCTCAACATTTCTGGTGAACGCAATTTAAATACCACAGGGTTTGTTTGTGTGTCCCCGTGTGTCAACAGGCTCCTTTGTTTGTCTATTCCAGTACTTGTTTTCACCGTCCATTGGACTGTATACTTTACACTGCGAATGGGTCAAACCACAGGAAAATTAATCACCTATACAACTCCAACCGGTTGTCCCGTAGAACAATATGATGATGATGATGAAGTCTGGGACACTTTTCATTCAGCAAAAGATACGCCCGAGACTTCGGAAACTCAGCACTCCCAGTGCAATGTAAACGAAACTGGTGAAGAAGGAGAGAATTACACGTGGCATCTGACAATCAAAGAGGTCCCGGTGTTGTTGGGACATCCTGAACCACTCGTAGAGGATCCCATTGAAAGAATCGAACTGCAACAAGGTTTATTGAAAAAGGAGTGTGACTCCGACAGACCCCGATCAAGTACCCTTATCAAAAAACATGACGGTGAGTGAAAACGTTGATACGAATTGTGAGGAGATGACCGATTGTAACATCCATTGCAGTAAACGCATAAATCCTGAGGTCGGACGTTTTATTAATTGCAAATAAATATATTTTCCATGATTTTTCCGCTTATCGCTACTTTCCGCTGAGTTAAATAGTGCTTTGTGTTTTTCTTAATGTGAAAGATTTTGTAAAGTTCTTTGTATATAGGTCTGTTGGGGACCACGAAAGTTGAAGATCATAACTATACGGTGGATTGTAGAAAACAAACCGGTTGACACAAATATTTGCAATTTCACTCGAAAAAGGAGCCGGTATATATTATCAGACACAAGGTGCGATTCATAAGCGATTAGTACCCTAAGGAAAAAGGTAATGAACAATAGCCTTGAGCTGAATTAAACAATGGAATGTCGAGGGGCAACTGCTAGTCGAAGAAATTAAATAATTTCTATTTTTCAGAAGGACACGATAAAACGTTGAATCTTAACAGGAATTTCGACTTAGAAGTCATACATATAAAGCTTCTCTGATGTATGAGAGATCAGTACTATCACCTGGAAAATTTAATATTCATGGATTTTGACTATATGAAAAAAGCATATGACCTGATCTATCTTCTATCTCATAAACGAATTCATGCACTTTGATGTGATAAAGTTATGGCAAACCTCTATTAGATGAATCCAATGTGGACTTCATAATACGTCAATACTGCAGTTTAATGCACACCGGTAATAGAGGAATAGATAATGGCAGAGAAATAGCAAAAGCCTATAGGAAAATTTTGAATGATGAATAAAACGAAACTTTTATCGCATCAATAAATGTATTTGATACACGATTCTCAAATGTAGTGTGTACCCCAATTCTTGTTCTGTGATATGGTTCACAAAAATATAGACCCAAAATCGTTGAACTCCGTAGATTGTTAGATGTACATGTTGAAAAGAACTCGATTCTTGTATTAATGTTTCCTCAAAATATTGAGTAACTTTAACCTTTTTCAACGGAACATTAAGCCACCAAATCGTAAGCTCGTACAGATCCTCGAATAGACTCGAAACCTGACATCATTGTTTCGTTAACGTCCAGCTTTTCTTGCTAATTTGGAGATTGATAAAAGTGCCCCCAGCTCCCAAAAGCTATGGATATATAGTTCTTTGATGCGATCCGTGTCCGACGTGTATTTTGGAATGAAAGGTTGGTGAAAGATTAAAGTTTTGGAGAAGGTCAGAAATTGATCATAGATTTTGACGGATAAAATTTTCACTTTCACTACGGTCTGGTGTTCGGCAGGGACAAATGAGTTTAGGGCAGGAATATTACGAACTACAGCTAGCAATTTGGAAAGGGAAAATATTCATGCCATTTAAGGCGCCGTTTGGTTGCTTAAGAAATTTGGGATAGATACACATCTTTACAAGGGAGAGTAATGTAAACTTTAGCTACGGATATGGTCAGCATTACACCCCAGCAAGATGTATCAAGTTGGTTCCCGAAGCCACTTAATTTAAAAAGCACGCGTCACGCGATTTCCTCAAGCATATAAAAATGATGAGTGTAAAGGCGGTTAAAAGCCATTTGCGTTTGTGTGTTGTCTGTCGGATTTTCACTCACTTTGTCATTTTATCTTATTGATTTGTGCAAGCTAGACGGAACTCAATGTATTTCCTAAGCCGCCTTTTGGCCAGCAACCAAGAATATCTGTCTAATTTTTAGCTTGACAGTAAATAATTTGATTGCAGTTAATAACGTGTGAAGCCGACGGAGGAGATTGTTTTTCTATGACATATTATTTACCGTGCAGCCATGTGCGGTAAGCTTTTGAAAGCCACTTTTTCGGAAAGCTAAAGTGCCGGGTATATAGTTTTCTCATACCCGGTTCAAGTAGCATGGTATTCGGTCGATATGTACTTATGTTAATTCTTAACAATATTGCAACAGTTTTATGCGCTTTGTCGGGGTGAGTGGCAGGTTGACTCTGAGAGGGGAATAAACATTCGTGAGCACATACTTGGTTTATGCCTCAGGTTAAATCACAACTTCAAACTGTTAGTTCTTTTCAGTGCTAAAATTGTTTTCACACCATGAACATTCCTAAGATAAATTAACAATGGTTTCATTTTAGAATGGATTATGCCGTTACGCGCACACTTCTGTGGCGATACACTTTGGAGGCCAAGCTCACTAAAGCGCTTGACCCCAGGCTGAAAAACCCTTTTAGAAACATTTATTCTTGTGTCAACTTCCTAAAAATTAGCAGAGTACTTCACGAAGAAATTCAGTGGAATGTGAACCTAGATAGGAGGCTTTGAGATTAAAATTGATACCACCAGGGCTGTTCTGGTTAATCCACACTCGTGTGTAAAAGTCAATTGAGAAATAGCCCTTCATCATCTCTAAGTCACTTCAGCACTGACATCCTACACTCGGTAAGACGAATACAAATATCATCAGAAATAGCAAAGTTCAACCTCTGCGGATCGGGTTGCCTCCCGTGATTTATTATTGTCATTTATAAAAACTCATCTACCGAGATGACAAATTTGCATAGAACATTATTTTTATGATATCTGTGATATTGATATCACCGAATCGAATATTAAATAAACAACCATTGTATCCAGCATCTCACTAGTGGGTGGATTGCACCAAAATTGATGTATATCTTTCACTTGAATGCAACAAGCAAATCAAAGATCGTTGACTTGAGTCGTCTTGGTGACTCTGTATACTCCCCCAGTACATACAAAAATCCTCATCTCCAGCAGGAATCCATTGCAACGATTTATGCAATGCTGAGTGAAAAAGAAACTAACCTAGTAAGAATCTAGACAAAGTTAGACGCTACCTACAAATATTCAGTCTAAGTTGGAACTTCCTCGTACCTTTAGCTTAAAAACCCACCCAGCGCTTCCGTCCTCTGAATTCTCAATATCTCTGTCCACACTTGGATAATTCGATTGACTGTAAAATCGGACCCTCACTGGGGCATTGTCATGAACGTATATCTATACATGCATTCACGTTGTGACTTTAGACTCTAAAATCCGATGAATTGATTACGCATTTTTGTAAATAATGGTAAAACTGGGGATTTCATGAGAATAAATAATGATTTCGGTGACCGCTTACTCTGCGCAAAAATATGACATTAGTTGGAATATGCACTGCCATATCTTTCACATGGCGGATATTCGAACACCACAAGACTTTACGTGCTGCAAATCGCTTTCAATAAATTTTTGTGACTGTTCTTTTGAATTTCCTTAGAAAAGTGAGAAAACTGTCAAAAACGTGATTCATGGATGCACCAAAATATTGGCTTTCAGAGAACAATTGGTACAATACACCTACTAGTCGCCCTCTCAAATGGAACCATTTAAGCAACTTTGAAGACCTGTGATTCTACTAGAAACTGAAACGAGATGCCCACATAGGCTGCTTGCTTTTTTAACGTGTAAATATTTTACGATCTATTATTTACTACCCAATGCAAGAAGTAAATATCTAAAACACTCGACTAGGCAAAGTCAGTGCAAAGGTCAAAGGTCACCAATCGCAGTCGGGTTGAACAGAGGGATATGGTGGGAGAACATGTTCATCGACCTGGATCAAGGTGACAGCCATGGGAAGGTGAGGTTGGCCACAAAGTCTATTTGTTTACAGAGATCTGGTTTGTGACGCCGAATGGCTACGGCCTCAGCAAGCCGTAACAACCGCCCCGTTTTCTGTTGGTTTAACACCCGGAATGCGTGCTTTGGATCGATGCAAAATTTGCAGTCCAATATGTGGCAGGTAATAGACCTGGAGGGGATCTTCGAGCCATTGAGTGCTAGAGTTCTCGGGACGTGTTACGAAATCCGAGTGAACAAGCGTCTCTCATTTCTTCCGATATACTTGCTACCGCAAGTGCATGGAAATAGGTAAATACACGAGGACGTACCTTGAGAGTTTAGGTTGTCCAAGTTGGGTTGAGTGATCATTCGTCTGTTTTTATGGAGAATAATAGGCGAAGCGGCGTTGTACGTTCTTGAGAGAGTTTGTTTCAGTCGACGTTTTGATAGCCTCTCATTCTGATCACCCTTAAAGGGTAATGTGACGAGAACGTGTTTCTTTGGTACGTCGTTTCGCCTAGTTCTGGTCTCTTTGTTGTTGCCATACTTTGCAATAAACTTCCGCAAATACCCGTTATCCTGTAATGCACAGGATATCAGCTCAAGATCGTTTTTAAGTGTTTCCGCAGAACAAATTTGTTTTGCTCTAGAAAACAAGCCCGTTACTAGGGCTCGCTTGTATTGTAATGGACAGAAGCTTCTGAAGTTCAGATACTGTCCGGTCCAAGTTGGTTTGTGGTATGTAGACCTGAGAAGAGATCCATCTTCCCTTCTCGTGAGTTTGACATCCATGAATTGAAAAGGTGTCTTANTCTTTAGCATGATTCTTGTCTTTGATAACGAAAACCGTGTCATAAACATAACGCTTGTAGAAAATAGTCTCATGTATCGATTGATAAAGTTTTGTTTCTCCCAGGTGGCCCATGAATATGTCGGTTAACATTGGTCCTAGTGGGCTTCCCACACCATCAACTTGTCGATATTCGCTGCCATTGAAACAAAACTGCACGTCTTTTGTACATAACAGCAGGAGATTCTTAA